TATTGTAAAATAGTTTTTTTATATGTTGCACACCGGGTGAAAAGTCAGTCGTGTAACATCAACGGTCGCTCCTGTAACGTACACCTCATGCAAAAAATATCATGGCAAATAAATTCACATGATCATATAAATATCGGATAAAGTCTAATAAAAGATTTGGTAATTTTATATAGTAATTCTAATTAATAAATAGATTTGTGTAACTAGTTAAAAAAATAATACGTAAACAAAGTAATAAAACCAAAACAGGCTAAACTACATAAAAAGTTAAATAAAAAATTATTATTAGGAATAATAGAATTAAAAATTATTAAAGAAGGATGAGATATGTCGTTTTATAATGTGACATTTTCATAATTGCATCCATTTTGGTTCAAGTCACATCAAAATCTAATTGGCCCGACAGAATCAAAAACCCTCGTCAAACTTTGTCAAGTAAATAATATCTATTATATAGAAAATAGGGGAATTTACATGTTAGGACCCAAAAAATGAAAATAATTACAAATAAGGGCCCAAATTTTGAAAAATTTTACGATTAAGGGCAAAAATAACTTTGCGTTATGATTATAGTGGTTCTTCAAACGTTATAACTATATATATATTGATTTATACATTTTATACTTTACCTTTCGCTTAATGAACTTTCTTTTAACCAAGAAACAATTCAACTAGGCTAAATACGATATTATTGATTGTAATGTTTATTCGGTTCTAAACCAATATGTTTATTCTATTACGATACAAACTAGTGAATCAATATTTTGTGAAGGTTACTATGCATTAATCGAAGATATTTAGAACCGAAGAAGTCATTTTTATTCGTAGAAAAATTTAAATTCTATTAAAAATCAGCAAAAGTGGTTATAATTTTTGCATGAAAAGCGCTAAGAGAATAAATGTAATACTGATTAAAAGTAATACGTTTAAATGTCAAAGATAATTACATTTATTATAATTTCATACGCGAAAAATTTGCAATCTTTTAATATTTGGATCTTTATATGTAATTATTTTTCACTTTGGGCCCTTATTAGTAATTATTTTCATATTATATATAATTTCCCCTAGAAAATACTTTTGCAAAATGTCGGAGTTAATGTTTGAAGTTGGACGACTATAGTCTCTAACAATAATGGAGTATGACACAATGAAATTTGTCTTGTATACTAAGATAAAACCTTGAAAAGCGCATTTTCATGCTATGAAGTTGCTCACAATAATTTTAATCCATATTTAACAATAAATCATTGAACTCTTTACTTTGCATACTTTGCATACACATCTGTTTAAACATAGATTCTCGATCTTGTAATAGTTCACGTGGATGACCGGATTCCACGATATACCCAGAATCTATTCCAATAGTAAATTGTGATTAGTACATAGCTCAACATAAATATGAATGAATAGTTAAATATGAAATATGTAATACCCAACACTAAAATTCTGTCATAATTAATAACCGTCTTCAAGCGATGCGTGATACATAGTAAAGTCGAATCTTTGAATTCTTCACGTATTGTTTCCTGGATTTTTAAGTCAGTTTCAAGATCTACATTTGCAGTTGCTTCATCTAAAATAATAACTTTGGATTTATTTATAAATGCTCTAGCCAACATAATTAATTGCTGTTGGCCATGGCTTAGATTGCAACCCCCTTCCCTGATAATCGTATCTAGCGTTAATAGATTAACGTTCCTGTTACTTTCTTGATTAGTGGAAGTATGCCCTTCAACCAAACGCGCTTTCCGAAGCACCTCCCATAATTCATGATCAGTATGTTCACCAGAAAAGTCAATATTACTTCTAATAAATTCATAATAAATTTACAATTAAAAGTCATGTAAATAAATAGGTTCGTAGTCTTTTTAATTGACATTAATTACCTTAAGGTCCCATTAAATAGTTTTGGATTCTGAGGTATTATGGTAATTTTCTTTCTTAAACAAGACAAATTAATAGTCGAAATATCAGTCCCATCAATCTTTATTTGACCATCAGTCGGGTTCATAATTCTAAAAATAGATTTAACTAGTGTAGACTTTCCAGATCCTAACACATAATAATGAAACAGCGACAATTAATGCAATTTTTTTAAAAAAATTCTTGAAAAAAAAAATATAAATTCAAATACCAGTTCTACCAACAATTCCAATTTTTTCTCCAGCAGAAATTTTAAATGAAATATTTCTTAATACAGTAGGGCCATTATTGGAATATTTCACTCCAAGGTTTTCTACTTCAATTTTACCTTTTGCAGGCCATTCTGGAGGACTCTCATTTGTATTCAAATCTTTTTCCTTTAATGTAAAATATTCCTTGATTCTTTCAACTAAAGAATTTAAACATTTAATACATACATTATAAAATATAAAAATATAGATGATATAAAACTTGCCTGAATTCATGTTCATTACTACCGCATTAAATGCATTAATAATATGAATAACATTATTAATAAATTTTATTATATTTATAAATATAAATCCAGCAAAAGCAGGGTCCATTCTGCTAGAAAGATCATCAATAGTAAGAGCCCCAATAATAAGCATAAATAGACCTCCTATAAAATTGGAATAAACATGCATCCATTGATTGCATGCCCAATTCATTAAAATTGGTCTATTATAACAATCCATTAGGTCTCTTAGATTTTTATAAAATCTTTCTCTGGCACCAAATGTTCGTATGATGGATCTACCTTCAATAGTCTTTTCAATTAATAAGCATCAGTAAAAGGATGAAAGCGTTTATACTCATAGTAAATGCTAATAAAAATAATTACATTGTCGAATGCAGCATATATTGAAGATCTATTAATTGCTTCTAGGCCTATATAATTATGTGGGTTATTATAGAAACACAAATAGTTAATAAATACAAATTAAGTCAGATTAGATTACTCACGTCTCAATTCTCTTGATGGAGAAATATAAAAAGTTCCGATTATCATATATGTTGCCGTAATGATAATACATGTCGCAAAAAACTGAAATCCCTGAAAAGAAATTACTATAAACGCAACTACTACAGAACTGAACGAGTTGATAAGAGATTCGATGTTGAGAGGTAATATCTGATCGATAAATTCTATGTCTTTGGAAAATCTATTCATTATCCTCCCTTTGAATAGTTTAAAAATTAGAAATAAGGAAAAACTAAATAATTTGATGAAATAACGCGCAGGGTGTAATTTCGAAATTTGGCCCGAATTAAGTTTAACTCGAGCCAAAATTCAAAACAACGCCCCTGTGCGTTATTTCGCGAAAATACGGTAAGCCAAAATCTATATTACCTATCGGAGTTGTATCGTAAAACTTGATCTTAGCAAATAAAATATTTTTTAACAAATTTTTATGTAATTTCTTTGAAGGTTTTAAAGCGAACTTTATCGTTAAGTATGATCCAAGGAGCGTTAAAAAAATTTCTAAAAATCCTAAAGACGCATAAAAAATAAAATAATTATCGTCATTTCTGGATTTATGTGTGATATTATTAGTGAAGAAATTAGGATCTTTATTATCGTAAACTTTTGTCCATTCACGGATCAAGAAGTCTGAAAAGAGAAAAGACGGCTAATGTTATTATTATTACTACTTAAATTGCAGCGTAACATTGTAATTAAAAATTACGAACCTTGAAGAGTTTGAACGAAACGTGCAACTAAAATAATTATAAATAGCCAATAAAATTTAGAAGAATTCAAATAGGTCACATAGGCACCCAATTTGACCCGGCCCTTAGCCTTTACTTCTTCTTTAAACAATTTGTTATCGTATTTGATATCCGGTAGCTTTATATATTCATCCTCTTTGAAATTTGAATGTAATTCCTCTGTTTCCAAATATTCTTTTTTATTTATTATCATACCATCCTTCATAAAAACTTTTAGAGCAGCACCATAAAAGTTTTCGTGATGCGTAACAAAAATACGGGTTCTATTTTTCATCAAGCTACTCCTTAAGCATTTTTCATATATATATTTTTCTGTGCATGAATCAACAGCTTCATAATGGCAAAATTATAGTGATAAATTTCAGGATTTATAAATTACAATAATATTATTTTATCTATTAAAAAACTTACCAGATAAGCAATTGTCCAAAATCATAATATTATGATTTGAATAAATAGCTCTTGCTAAAGCGATTCCTGTGATAAAAAAAAAATTCCAAAATTTGTTTTTAGCTCAAACACAATAAATTTGCTGCAGAATAAATTTGATTACATTTCATTCTAATTTAGTATGAAAAATCCTAATGCCTACGTTGCTTCTGGCCATCACTTAGTGTAATTCCTCTTTCTCCAATTTCTGCTTCATCATCAAAAGTAAGATCACATATACTTTTAACTTCAGAATATCTTTCAGCAATGAAATCCGAGCCAAATAGAATATTATTTCTAATAGTTCCATTTTGAAGCCATGCTAAAAAAATTTCTCAGCATTTAATACAGTAATTGAATGAAATAAGTATTCAACGTGAATTAAAATTACCAGTTTGGGAAACGTATGCAATATCAACTTCATTTGGAAAATGTACAGAACCATCCAGACATTTCATTTCTCCCAGAAGTGCTTTCAATAAGGCAGACTTTCCACAACCGGTCGGACCGTGGATTAATGATAGCTTTCCTGGAGGAAAAATGACGTCCAGCTCTTTTAATTTGAAGTTATTTGAATTATTTGGCCATTGCAGAGTAGCTTTTTTAAACCCGATAGTTCCATCGTTTCTAGAAGAGTAATTTTGAACAATTTCCGATACTTTGAGAAACTTTTCAACTCGAGAAATTGAAACATGGGCTATATAAAATTTATAAAAATTCAATATGCATCTGGCTTAGAAAAGAAAAATTATTTAGATACTTACCTTGAATAAAGCAAATAATCTGATATGGCAAATTATCAAAAGCGTTATGAAGATTGACATATACAGTAATAGCTGCAAAGGCAATAGGGGCAGTCAATTTCTTAATATAAGAAATTTGAATGAATGTCAATTTTAAGTGATACAAACAATTTATAAATGATGAATATAATAATAATTACATGATTGGCGAATGTAGGTAAAATCATAAGGAAAGGCAGAATAGTACATAAAATCCCCATATAGATAGACTTTCTCATACGATCTTTGAGTTGATTTAACTCGAAATTACGAGCATCCGTAATATTTTTAAGAAAATGGTCTTCACTTGCAAATAGTTTGACATCTCGAATAGATTGTAATAACTATTAATTCAATAAATTAGATTACTTCCAAAAAAAGAATAAATCTTTAAATATTGGACTAAACTTAATTCTAACCTCGTTTGTCACCTCTAGACGTTTATCAGTTGCCTCCATGAGATTTTCATGAGTATTTTTATATTTCTAAAATTATAATTATAATTTTTTAATAAACCCATTTTTTACGTAAAAATTTAAATACTTTATGTATACTTACCAATGTGACAAAAGTAAAGCGTAAAAGAATAAAAAAAAATATGATAACGCTTATAATAATAATATATATATTATCGACTAAATTATACAAATAATACATGGCAACAATGAATTTTATAGGACAGGTATATACTAAAAAAAAATATATAATAAATTAATATTAATGAGGAGACATATTTACTAGCGGAAGTAATAATACTTACGATATAAAAAATTTCCAACCATTGATGAAACTTTTTGTGCGTCAATGCTCATAAGATCAGTAATCTTTCCCTTTTCTTCTCCATCAATATCCTTCAGATCCATCACTCTTTGATGCACTTCGATATTAATGATTGTCTATATTCGGTCAGAATTCGAATGTTAATTCAATATTCTAACCTATGACTATAAGTTGGAACCAATTTCACAACCCAAATTTAAAACCAATTCAACCCGATTCAAAAATCAATTTTATAATTTAACAGATTTGTAGAGTTGGCAAATCTAAAGAAGCTTTTACATTTTAATAAATAAAAGCCCAATTTTTAATTTTGATATTTAGATAAAGTAATGTTCTTGCTGATAATGAATAAAGCTGTTAACATCGACATATATTCCTTTTCACATAGCAATTCTAATTTGAAGCCGAAAATTGATATGTGTAGAGCCAAGATATTTGTCTTAAAATAATGTTATTGCAAGTTTCGGATCCTGAAATTCCTTTGTGCAGCGAATATTTATGTCTACTTACATATGCTACGTAGAAATGCGATTTTCGAATCAATAGAAATCCGGGTTGATTCGGGTTTACGAATCAACCCGGTTTATTTAAATTCAGTTTAAAAAACCGGATTGAATTTCATGAAGATGGTTAAAACTGGATTGCAAAAATAAAACCGGATCCAACCTCTACTTATGACAATAATTAACGAAACATACCTGACATTTATTGGCTATCTGTCGGCAAATATATTGTGCATGCTGTGAAAATAAAACCGATAACATCATAAAAAAAGATAATTCGTAAACATATAAGAAAGCCGTAGATAGTGATTCATCGATATAACGCAAGAAATTTTCAAAACATGATGGTATAACTAAAAAATCCAAAAGAATCCAAGCCATGGCACAAATGAATTGAATTAACAAGTCTTTCCAAAAGGTGAAGAAAAATGATTTTAGGATCGAATTCTTTCGATTCTTATTATAAGTGTTCATAACGTTTTTAGTTCTGAGAGATTTTGGCAATTCGGGGACGTCCTCATGTGTAAGAAAAGTGCGTTTATAGCACGCAATGATCAACGGAAGAACCCATGAAAATATCCAACTACTAGGATAGATATTCGCCTCAAGTATTAAATTTTGATCCTTTTTAGTTTAATTAAATAATGAATTAAAAATGAATTAAAATGATATCAAGAGTAATATTGCTTGAATATTGTAGATTATTATGGTGCGAACACTTCAAAATGTCATGCAAAATGTTGTAGTAGTCAAAATTCTATGTGAGTTGAAGAATATCAACAGAACATATGGGCTAGGTGCTGGAAAAAGGAACGAAAATGACAATTTTTTCAAACCAAATTTTTTTACATAAATTAATTTAGAAT